GCCGAAGGAGGCGACGCCGAGGCGGGAGGCGGTCCGGGGTGACGACGGCGGCGGACCGGAGCTCGGCGGCGACGGCGGAGAGAGAGAGCGACGTCGCGAGCTCAAATCCGGCGAGGAGGAAGGGCGGCGAGAGGCGGAACCGGACGGAGGAGGTGCGGGGAGGGTTTAAATAGAGCCGGGGCGAGAGAGGCTGGCCGGGGAAGGGAGGAAACCGGCGCGGGAGGTCGGCCGCCATCAATGGCGCCGGCGAGATTAGGGGAGCGGTTTCCAACCGAATCCGAGGGAGAGAGGGAGGGAAAAATGGGGGGAAAGAGAGAGGGAATCACGGGGAGTGATTTCCCCCTCTTTATTGCGCGCGGGGACGGCGGGAGGCGGCGGGATTCGCGGCGGCGGCGGCGCTAGGGCACGGGCGAGGCGGCGGGAGCGGCGGGAGGATAGGGATGACAGGTGGGCCCCACCCGTCAGCGAGGGTGGCGGGCGGGCCCGCCCGTCAGCGGCACGCGCGCGGGGAGGAGGCCGATTGGGCCGCGGGGGAGAGGAGAGAGAGGGAGGGAGGTGGGCCGAGCCGGCCCAAGAGGGGAAGGGGGGAAAAAGGACTTTTTAGGGCTTTTCTTTTTATAAAACCATTTTAACTTTGTTTATTTCTTAATAATTATTATTTGTGCTCTGAAAATTCCACTAAAATTTGAGGGCTCCTTTTAGACCAAGGAGAATTTAACAAAAATTCTCCGGGCCACATTCGAATTTTTCTTGTACGTATTTTAATGTTTGCCAATTTCTTTTCGAATTTTAATTAATTCTATTATTCCTTTTAGAAAATGAATTTTATTTCGGAATGAATTTATCAGGACGTGACATACGCTCGGTCTCTTTTCCTTCACCCAAGTAAGTACCTCTGCAAACGAGAACACACAAAACTCATTGTGTAGCAATGTTTGTTCAAATATATAACAAGTAAATCTAATATAGAACATATGCACCTTTGGTTGATGAATACATAAGGTAGTCATGGTTATATCCGAGCTAGTTGTGTCCTCATTAGGGAGGCTGTCCTAAACGTTCTCGGCCCAATTTGTATGCTTGTCATCCATACACTGCCTATGTAGCAATCCAACACGCACCATCTTGTCAACACCTCCTAAAGCAACCTCAAGGATCCACCCACATTGACCTTCAATTGAATGACATCAATCTATGCGGAAGCACGAAGCCGAGAAATTGCCATGTCGTCTCCACAGCCATCGAACGACCCGAAGGCCACGTCTAGCCATCTCTCTATCGAACGCAGCTCACCGAAACGCCCGTGCCACCATGCCCCAATTGTTCGATTCCACCTGTTGAGACCACCGATCACCTCCAGCTTCAATCAACCTGAGCGTGCGACCACACGTCTTCCTATTGAATCGCCCGCCTGAAGTTTCTGACCCACCGGTTGGATCGCCAATCGCTTCCATCGCATCAACCCGAACACCATGTCTGGTTGTCTCCCTGTTGAAAACAACCACTGAACGGTTCATACCGTCGCCTGAAGTGTCCGATCCACCTGTCAAAATCCGTTGATCACCATCGTGCACCACCATGCACACATGTCCTTCCATGGACATAAACCACGAGCGGTGCAGTGTGGGCTACCCCATCGCGCCTCTATCCATGGACCTCCTGCAGGCTTTGATACCACTTGTTATAAAACTGGCTTCAATAGCACATCGAGAACCAAACGTGGAAGAAACGCCATAGGATATCCAAACATGATAACAACACTGAGGCACGATATTTGTTAACAAGGTTCAGCTGTAGCCTACATCCCTGTGGCACTGATTACGGGTGCTACTCTCCGATCCAGCATATTAGAGCATATCAGAGTTACAACGACTCACGGCCGGACACCGACGATAGCCGCTCCCTCGCTCTATGTTAAGGCCCAGTTCTTTCCCCCAACTTTCCCAACTCACCTCCCTCGCACGCGCACACTTTTCAAACGGCTAAACGGTGTGTTTTTTTGCCAAAAAAAAGTTGCTTTAAAAATTATATTAATCCATTTTTTAAAGTTTTTTATAGTTAATACTTAATTAACCATGCGTTAATCTATCGCTCCATTTTGCGTGTGGAGGGGAGGGGTTCCCAACCCCTCCAAAAGAACACAGCCTAAGTCACCATATGGTTTCAATAGGTTGGCTCCTCTATTTAAGAGAGATCTTATGATAGAGTCCAACTCTTCCTCTATTCCTAACACCTAGTACAACTCCAAGTTCTAAACTGGAACTAACTTTGTAGACATATTTGATGCGAACTATAACATTTATAATTTATAATTTACTATTTTTTATATGTAAACATAATAATAAACACTAAATAATGAAGAATTCACTAGATAAAAAATAGTTTGGCTGTAACTAAAGGACTAAAGAAGCACTAAGTATATGAAAATATGTTATCTCTTGTACTAACGAGCTAAAGAGCAGTTCATGAGTCAGCTCATTAAAGTCACAAGCTAAACGTTTAGCTTGGCTCGATTTATTAAGATTACAGTTCGAGTCAATCCGAACCAAACTCGCTACGAATCAATCACAAGCTTTGAGTTTCTTTTCCACCCCTATACCGTAGTAAAAAAAACCGGACCTACCCAACGGTTGAACCGGAAAACCGGAACCACAAGCTACGAGTTTTTTTTTTCCACCATGCCTATACCTGAGTGAGACACAATTGTAACAATCGGTACTATAAATTCAATGGCCAACCAAATCCTACTTTCGGGTAAATGATTGTCCACGGATGATCATAGCTACCCCAGGGATTTTTCTTAAAACATACTACTCATAATGTCCAAATCAATTAATTAATTAGTAAGATTTCTACTTATGTATAGTATACATACTAGAATATACTACAATTGTCGATGGTAACCTTTGGTCAAATATAACAAAATTAAGTTCCATTCATAAAATTAAAGTAAATCGATCAGTGTCACACACAGACAGGACCGGATGGTTGGTGGTTTTGCAGCTGTGCGCATTAAATGGTCCAGTGCATGCACACAGAAGGCATTATAAATGTAACTTTTATCCCATGATGAAAGCCTTCTCTTCTGCTGGTTCCATCTGGCCCTCCCTTTCAACCTTTTTTCAGAATTTAATTGCAGAGATTTATTTGACTTGGAATGGACTATATATCAGGTTCATCCAATCAGAAAACCGCGGCGGAGCTGCCGACCCGTTCGCTGAAAAAGAACCTTCTTAGAATTAAACTGCCTTTTGCCTTTCATCTCCACACCCTGAATCTCTTGTAAAAGATATAAAATAAAAAGGAATATCAAATTTGTTAAAATGACTTGTTTTTACCAGTACTTACGTGTAGCAAAACTTGAAACATATAGCCAGCCTAGTATATTATTAAGATCATGTGTCAGAAAAGAGCCATTATATTGCCTTCGTTGCTAGAAATTAGGGTTAATTGGATCAATGCCACTAGAAATATGTTATTTTAGATAAATGACAGTACTATTCATGATATCGGCTACATGTCACTCGAATTTATAGAAATTGGGATCATGCCACTCTGTCGTATTTTCCATCAAAACTCTCTGTAAGCCTCAATTGCACGTGGGTAAGAAAGAAGAGGGGGATTGAAGGAAGATGGAACTGACATGTGGGTCCAACGTCTAGGGGTCTGACGGAAAATACGACGGAGTGGCACGGTTCTAATTTCCCAAAATTTCAGTGGCACATAGCTGATATCATGAATAGAAATGTTATTTATCTAAAGTGGTATATTTGTAGTTGCATGGATCCAATTAACCGTAGAAATTATCATTTTCTTTAGAGAAATTATAATATTTATTAATATTAAAGGAAAAGAGCTGAACCTACATCGAATATATGGAAACATAAATAAGCTAGACATGTATATACATGAAATCGCTTTTTTTAATATATCTAGTTCCACACAATTGCGCTGGGAAACCCACTATTTTTTAACTTAAAATCACAAAGAAACCAGAACAGATATACCACTGCGTTGCCACAATAAACAGGAAGATATATAGAGGTGTACGTGCATGCTATCCTCCGTACGCTACTTTCCCGTCATAAAATGATGATTGGTTTATCGAATTAAATTTGAAAATATACTTTTTTTAATATTTTACGTTCATATACATGCATGGAAAATATTTGTACAAATATACCTCCTCCAGACAACGGTGACGCGGGACCGAGGCAGTGCGGCTCTTTCATTCCGCAGGACCGGCGGTCGCGCAGGACGGCCGTGTGGTACCACCTCGCTCCCACATCCCGAGAGAGCGGTAGCGTGGTGGAGGGCAGTACCGCGTGCAACCGGCGCGGTCCCACGCGATGGTGCTGCACGACCGGCTCGGTCCCACGCCGTACGACCGGCTCGGTCCCGTGCAACGGCGCCGCGCGAATGGCTTGGTCCTGCGCAACGGTGCCGCTCGATCACCTCGGAACCACGTGCGACCGCCCTCCACCACGCTGCCTTTCTCCCGGACTGCGGGAGTGAGGCGTTGTCGCACGGCCGTCATGCGCGACCGCTCACTACAAGATATCTTATGATAGATGACGCTTCATTTACGTCACAAACATTGAATTTTTCGTCACGTTTCGTAATCTGTGACGCTCGCGTGACGAAAATTTATTCGTCACCTATCATGCGTCTCTAATGGCATTCTATGACGAAACCTTATTTTTTCGTCATTAATCTAGTGACGATCCTTCTGTCGTCATAACTTTGTGACTCTCACATTCGTCATTATCTAGCCTAAAAAACGTCACAAAATATCAGATGGCCCATTAAAATCCATGTATTGAGCACCCTGTTTATGGGCTTAGCCCAATGGCAAGCCCAACTACATTTTAGCCTGGCCCATCTATGATGTAGCATATTTTCAGCCCAATTTTATTATATCCATTTGCTTTAATATCAAATAATAAATGGGCCAAGTCCATTGCAAAAGCCCATGTAAGCCAAAACATTACACCACACCATTTTCAGCCCATCATATTATATTCATTTATATTAGTATCAAATAACAAGTGGGCTAAGCCCACATAGGCCCAACAATCAACCACAATAACAACAACCCATATAGCACAAAGGTTACAACCCATATAGCAACTGGTTCTTCTGATAATGCACCAGAAGTCTTACAAACCGAAAAAAAACAAAGGTTTCAACAAACTGCATGCACCATCAACAATCACCTACAAGGATATGTTGTATCAAACTAGCAAAGATATCTGATTCTAAGGTTGCCAAATGTTCATAGCATGTATTTCTGAGATATTTCACCACTCCAGATGGCAAAATCTTCAGCTGCCTCCATCCTGTACATTTCTTCTCTTGAAAATCAACCAATGGCATCAATGTATCTTTACCCTTTACAAGATCCTACTCAACAGACATCATTGTAAGTACAGAGAAATGCAGTACTGAAATGCAGTATACAGTAGAGAGAAATCTAATCTAGTTCTCAACAAACTGACATAGTATACAGTAGAGAGAGAAGTACAGAGAAATGCAGTACTGAATGCAGCACTACAGGAAAGAAACTCTTAAGTTAATTAATTTCAGGCTAAGTTAAAACTACTGGTGCAACTGGGTAAATTTGGACCACTCATCCAACCAAGGATTGGAATCAAACCAGCAAGCTAAAGTCTAAAGGGTAGCCTCTGATCAGGATCAGATTCTTCACCAGCTAATTGAAGCAGAAATGCTGAATGCTAAATTGCTTGCTTCTGTAAAGCGCACTGAACTGAACTAAATGAATTACAGTGTGAAAGAAGATACAGTAGAAGTAGCAGATTACTTCTCTGTTTTAGCAGATTAGCTCATGGCAAGATGTTTAGATAATGGAATAGATATCTAGTTTGATTGCCAGATGCAAGTTGATCTCTTTGCCTAGAAATTGAGCATAAACATGCACAGTGCATGATGCACTCACTCTCATTCATCAGTCATCACCTACATGAATGTAATTTTTTTACAGGCGGTTCTTAATAACTACTAATTAAAGTATTGGTGTAAGCATCTAATGTATGCAGACTGCATGCCAATATTCTTAGGGATCACATGAATAAAAAATCATTTTGAGGTAGCAAATGTTTGTGTTCAAGAATAGGAAAAGGTAGTAAGAAGAAGGTGGGAAAATGACACTTATCTTTCTAGTCAATGGGATCTTTGAACGCAGTGGCACACAACCCTCTGTAGCTTGCAATTCATATCTGCAACAGAGCAACTGCAAGCTTGCATCCTTCTCTTTTCATCAGAAACTTACAGCTCCAAATGAATATGCAATGAAACAAGTTCAGAATATTTAGTCTCTACCTATGTAGCGTGGCAAGAAAGCTCTGCTACATAAATTGATTTACTTTCTGTAGGACAGGGGAATAAGACTTAAGTACACATGCCAAGAATTACCATTGCTGAGAGGAGTTGCAACTGTACTTAGATCTAAGTATCATCATACGCAAGTAAATGCATCCAGAACTTGCAGATCGAGGGAACAGTGCTACCGGATGAATCGTAGGATCAACCATCATTCAACAGAGACAGACAGAGATTAAAGCTTACTGTTGTGGCTCGATGATGGCGGATGAGTGCTCGACCCATCGGCGCTCCACGGGAAGCCACTTGAGCACCCTCCTGCCCAGCGGCTCGCCGCGACGCCGCCGCTGATTCACCGATGCGGCAGGGGACTGCGACGCGGACGCACTACCTCCGGACCTCCCTGCTGCCCCCGAAGAGAAGGCCCGACCTCGCCTCCTCCAGCCAGGAGGGCAGGCCGGTGATGCGGCAGATGCGGCGTGGATCGGGGATGTGGCTGCAGCGTTGACGAGGGGGGAGGGTCGCCGCCGCCGGCCGTCGCCGTGCCCGCCGCGCGCCGAGCTCCTCCGTAGGGCGGCGGATCCGGCCCTCCCGAGGACGGCGCCGCCGGATCCGCCGCCGCAGGCCGTCGCCGAGCCCGCCGCCCGCCGCCGTCGGGGAAGGGAGGCCACCGCCGCGCATGGGAGGTCGGGGAACGAAGGCCGCCGCCGGTGCCGAGCGAGTCGCCGCCGAGCCCGCCACGCCGCACAGCTCCCGTCGGTGAGAGAGAGAGAGAGAGAGGAGAGGAGGAAAGAGTGAGAGGCTGAGAGGAGAGGAGAGGATAGGATAGGATAAGGACGGTGGAAGTTAAAATATCAGGAGAGGAGGGGGGAGAGAAGAGGAGAGGAAAAATTTTGAATGGAGGAGGAGGGAAAAAATTTAATTTTAAAATATTAAAATTTCTAATCGAATTTTATCATACTAAATAAACTTATGTGAAAAATTTTTTTTTGTCATTTCGCCATCCGATTTTGATTTAACTATATAAAATTTGAATTTTAAAATATAAGAAAATCTTTCAGGTAGTAAATGATTTCAAATGGAAAAGTTGTTAACAACAAAATTGTATAACTTATCAAGATCTATAACTTTTATTTTCATCATTTTTCTATATGACTTTGTATGCACAGTTTCAATTTGAATTTCATATTATGATAAATTCAAACGACATTTTACAAGTACTAAATGATTTCAACTGAAAATGTTATCAATAACAAAGTTCTATAACTCATCAAGACCTATAACTTTTATTTGGGTCATTCTTTCATCCGACAAAGTGATTTATAACATTATTCACAAAATGTACATATCCCTTATATAGTTTATAAACTATAGGAGAGATATGTAAATTTTGTGAACAATGTTACTATTACTTTGTCGGATGAAGAAATAACCAAAATAAAAGTTATAGATACTGATGAGTTATACAACTTTGATGTTGATGACTTTTTCAGTTGAAATCATTTAGTATTTAAAAATATTGTTTGAAGTTGTCATAATTTGAAATTCAAATTCAAATTATTGAAACAGAGTCATATAGCAAAATTACCAAAACAAAAGTTGTAGATATTGATGATTTATATAACTTTGTTGTTGATGACTTTTTTAGTTGAAATTATTTAATATTTGAAAATGTTATTTGAAGTTGTCATAAGTCAATCAAACTTAGATGGATAAATAACCAAAATAAAATTGGTAGATCTCAATAAATTATATACCTTTGTTTTTGACAATTTTTTTACATAAGTTCAATTAGTATGATAAAATTCGATTTGATGTTTTAATATTTTGAAATTAATTGAGAGGAGGGAGGCAATATGAACTTCTGGTTGGAGGGAGGAGGGGAAGGGGCAGCTTGGCGGCTGGGCCGGCTAGTTCAGTGGCGCGGCCCATGGAGGAGTAGAGGAGGGTTGCACAGCTTGGGCCGAGGTGGGCCGAGGGAGAAAGGAGGGAGAGGGAAGGGAATGGGAGGAGGAAAAAGGCCGAGCGGGCTGGCGGGGATTTGAATCAGACTTTAGTACGGATTTGGCCCAAATGACAAAGGAGGATTGTTTTTAGTTTTTCTTTTTAATAAATTCTGTTAATTGTTTTTTTGCTTAGTAAATATTTCGGTGCTTTGAAAATTCAAGTAAACATCCAGGACATATTTTAAACCGAGGAGAATTTATGAAAAATACTTTGGGTCACAATCAAATTTTTTCTTGCACGTATTTTAGTGTTTGCCATTTACTTTTAGGATTTTAGTTAATTATATTATTCATTTTAGAGAATAATTTTTAATTTGGGTGAATTTATCAGGATGTGACAATTATTTTAGGGCGTTACAAAGGGCAGTTCAAGCATTCATCAATTTTAAAAAGAAAAAAACTTATGATAAACGAACATTGTTAGGAACTTGTGACGTTTGTTGGTTGGTCTCTTATGACAAAATAATAACAGTCACAATACACCATTAGACAAGTTTATGACGATCTGTATTTGATCTTAGTGACGACCACCCCATTTTTGTCACTAACCAGCACCGCCCCATATTAAACGTCATAAAACGAAATGGCATAGTGACGAAAAGCACCATCGTCACAAGGAATTCGTCACAGAAGATCACATTTCTTGTAGTGGCTGGTCACGTGGAATGGGAAAGCGGCACCGCCTCGGTCCCGCGCGTCCCCGTTGTGCGGAGGAGGTATATTTGTGCAAATATTTTCCATGCCTGTATATAAACAAAAAATATTGAAACAAAATTTATATTTTCAAATTTAATTCTTGGTTTATCCCCAGTACGTGCATGATATTTTTTTTAGGTGAGCACATGTATTAAGAAAGTAGATATAAATGATTAAAGAAAAGTTGTGAATTTGTGATTGGTTGAGAAAAAAAGTGAATAAATTAATTGGTAATGGTTGTGATTGGTTGAGAGAAGGCGTGGTAGATGGAGAAATAACTTTATTCTTATTTTAATTATATTTTAAGATGGAGGTAGCAGCATGCTACTGCTGGAGAAGCTTGGAAGCTAGAAATTGGCATATAAGGCCATCACCAATGCGGTGCTTCAGCCCGTCCCCTTAGCGCCGGCTGTCCCCTTTTCCGTCCGCGTCGTTCCCCTTGGACGGAACGCGTCCCTCAGCTAGGGAACGCGTTGCTCGCCGCACCTCGCCAGCTTTTCGTGGGGAGACGCAGCCAGGCGCCACACTGTGCGCGTGTGCAGCTCATGGGCACGGTGTCGTCTCCCCCCCCAAAATTTCCCCTTGCACCCTCGCCTTTCTCGCTCTCCCCTCGGTCTCATCGCGCCGCGCCCACCACTGCCAGGACCGCCACTGTCGGCCTTAGAGAGAGAGAAGACATCGACGACAGTGACAATGGATCCGCGACGGCGACGACCGGATCCGATCGCCGTGCGCCGCGGCAGCCATCGGCCACCAGCCGGCGACGAGCGGAGACGGCTTGAGACGCACGTGCTCGCCGCCTCGCGCACCTTTCCCGGCCTCCTCTGTCGGCGCCTTGCCCACCACCGCCGGCGCCGCGGGAGGCCCAGATCCACGACGGGAGAGAGGGAGAGAGAAGGGCGGCGGTGGATGCCAGCAACGGGAGAGGCGGCCCTCCTCGTCGTCCTCGCCGCCGCTCCCCGGGTCTGACAAGGCTGCCGCGGCCGAGGACCGTGCCATCGCCGAGCACGCCTGGCGTCTCCGACGAGCGGCGGCGCGGCGTGGGATCGGAGGGGGAGCGTGGGATCTGGCGACGGCGGGGAGAGTGGCGAGCGGCGTCGGCGAGAGGGAGAGAGAGAGGCGAGCGGCGGAGGGGAGGAAGCGAGCACGCGTGGAGGCGGAGGGGAGGAGGTGCGCCGGTAAATGAGGAGAAGAGAGAGAGAGAGAGGGAGGAGAGAAGAGAGGGGTTGATGTGACCATGGTTACCACAGATGCAACCATTGCTCACATCATGGATGAACAAGATGACATCAAGGTCAAGGCCTCCAAGTGCTGGAATCCGATCCGGCCACCTGCTGCATTGCTGATTTCAAACAGCCGCCAAATCTCCATACGAGCTCTGTTTTCGGCCCGTGAGTACTTGATGGAAAGCTCTCGGAGTCCTCTTTCCAACGGATACAGCCTCATTGCGAAATTCCATCTTATTGAGCCGCAATTGAAGCAACAAGGTGCTGCGTCACCTATCATGGGCCTTTGGGCTTGTAACTTCGTTTGGGACCCTGGCCCAAGTGGGGCCCATGTGGGGTGCGCCCTAATCTGGTGGAGCACGACCCTAGGATCCTCATGGTCGTTCTCCCACCCCTATAAGTAGCTAGATACCCCTTCAGGGTTGCTTGGGTTTTGATTAATTGTAAGTTTAGCCATTGCTACTTCGCTTGCAGCGCGCGTGTCGGCTATACCGTCCGTCTGCTTGTTCGGAACCCCACTTTATCATGTATCAATTTATCTTTGTGCGTCTTGTCTATCTAGTAATTCAGTTGCTTTATATCTTGTTCTTGCTTGTTCTCGATTGCTTGCAGGAATAAGGTTGATCTGCACCGGCAAGATCAACAACCCACGGAGAGGTGTATCGATCGCTAAGGCGCAACGCAACGTCTTGTACGGTTGTAGTCGGATCGTCAACGTTTCTCCCAAATCGTAGTTATCATCAACTCACCGAAAGATCGGGCCAAACAACTGCCTTGAGTGTCGAGTGGAACTCAGGGTTCATCAGGGGTAGTATAGTAAAATACCTACGTAGGCTTTTTAGGTTAGGGGCACTCGTTAGGCTACTAGGGTATCTTTCATTGTGTGGGGGGTTTCCCAGAGAGTGCCCTCAGTTAGTGAGGGTACTCTTAGAGTGTCCCTGATTGTAGATGCCCTAAGAAAAGGCAAGAAAAAGGATTTGTATCATTAGATGTTACTACCTTTATATTTTAATATATGACGTCGTTGACTTTTTGTCCAACGTTTGACCGTTTGTCTTATTCAAAAAATTTATGTAATTATCATTTATTTTATTGTAACTTGATTCGTCATCAAATATTCTTTAAGCATGATATAAGTATTTTTATATTTGCATAAATATTTTGAATAAAACGAATGGTCAAACGTTGGTCGAATAGTCAACAGCGTCATACATTAAAATACGGAGGGAGTAGATATTACTGTATAATGTATGTCTACCCTAAGAAAAGGATATGATACTACATAATGTATGTCTTGTTAGATGTTTCTGTAATGCAATAATTACTGACAGGCCCCAGTGGTCGTCCCCTATACCTGAGGCTTTCGTTCCGATTAACGTTAGTATAGGAACAGAAATCAATTAATTAACTTCCTCTTAAACTCTCTAGCCAGCTAGCTTGTACCAGAAGCCATGTACAACCAGCACGTACAATTAAATACACTGTTACGATACACTGTCGTCTCAGCACGTGAACATGTGTCCAGCTTCCTTTCGGTTAATTAGGGATAAAAATGGTCACGAAAAGTTTCGATTGACAGATGCTCGTTTTTTTTTCATTGACCGAAGCATCTGAAAAAGGTAAATAAAGACGAAAAGGACAAATTTAATAAATTTGAAAATGGAAATGGAACGATTATACTATTTTACCGATTACTTCCATATATACCCAACGGAAATTACTATATTTATAAGATAATAAGTTTAATTTATTGTTGTAAGATTGAATATCTATGATCATACTCCCTCTATTTTTTAATAAATAATAATGTTAACTTTTAAACACATGTTTGACTATTCGTCTTATTCAAAAATTTTATTCAAATGTATAAGGTATAATCACGCTTAAAATATTTTAAGTGATAAAACAATTCACAACAAAATAAATTAGAATTACGTAAATTTTTTTATTAAAAAGAATGGTTAAACTTGTGACAAAAAAACTAACGATGTCATCTATTAGAAAACAAAGATAGTATTACATATAATCATGTTATGTGAAATATATATATGGTTTTACAGTTATTCAAACAGTACTTACCGGTTACCGGATTCTAATCGATACCGGCACGTTCTCATTCATATAATTCCGTTTTCGATTTTCTGATATTATTGCAGCTTTTCATTCTCACCTCTACCTTTTTATTCTATTTTTAAGAAAAATATATATGGTCACAGAAATGGTTTTGATGGTGTTCTCCAACCCATTTGTTGTCTGGATAAACATTTTACGTAGAACTGTGGGAGTGAGCCCAAAAAAAAAAAAACCGTACGTGTGTCCGTGCTGCTGATTTTGTCCGACATGGATGCATGCGTGCACATGTATTAAGCTAAGCTAGTAGTAGTAGGCAGCACAGATCGATCGAGCACGTACGTTATGTGTACAGCCCGAAACTAGCTGGAGTAGATCGATCGATCGATCGATCAGGAGCAAATCATATCCTTTGCTTCCAGTAGGAATGTGCGTACGTAGGACGATATATGTGCAGGTTCGATCTCCGTCGGTGGCGTTGGCCGTCTCCCTCGATCTCTCAACCACGACCGGCCGGTGGCGTAATTCCTTCGATAGGGTTCCATACCCTCTCTGCAAGATAGAGCTGCTAATTAACATGGTCGACGATCCAAGAAGCTATCCTTTCTAATTCGTCACTCCGATTCCACAAGCAATTAAAGTCGGTTTAGAGTTCTCAATTACATCTTTTTGCTAAAGTTTGGATTTTTAGATATAGTAGAAAAAAGTGCCAGTGCGTTGCAACAGGTAAATGCTATTTTAATTTTATTGTTGTTATACGATTTAACTAGCGTAAAATTAATTCACTATGGGAATCTGCTTGGATATTCTTTTTAGAAAATCATAAGCTACAATTAGGAGTCCGTAGTTAATCTCAAGTTAGCACGCGAGTTTTTTTAAAGAAATTTATTGTACGACTCCTTTTGTATTTTCCAAATTAAATGAGCTTAAAATCCAACTCAAATATGGATATATATTTCTAAAAGTCAACAAATTTAAAAACCAACTCAAACACGGATGACGTACCAAAATACCGGCAAAAACATCTTCAATTTTTATAACAATAGAGAAGAGATAGATAAGAGAAAAGATATAGATTAAAACCGAAACATAAAAGTAAAACCGACTCAAACACGGATGATGAACCACGGAAATATCTTCAATTTTTATAACCGATTAAACACGGATGACGGACCACGGAAATATTTTTAATTTTTATAATAGTAGAGATTCGATTCGATGACTGTATATGTAGCTTATTTTAATCTTTTCTTTCATACTATATATTTATGTCAAGTTTTCAAAATATAAGGATTTTAAATTTATAGCAATTTCACAACCTATTCAATTCACCTTAACCATTCAACCGCAACCAGTTTTCATTTAATTTTGTGTAGCTCAATTTTAATTTCTACTAAAACGGTTAAAAATGCTTATGTTTTAAAACATAAGAGTAAGTTCTATACGCTATAATTACGACAAATAAAATTGAAAAACTGTACTCAACACTCTCCCGACGTTAAATAAAATTTACTGCAGGAGTAGCTGATATTTTCCACTATATAAGTAAATGAATTAATGATAGCAAAATCTATCGATCATTTAATTTGAACTATCTCCTTACAAATTCATGTGTATAAATATAAAGTGACATAGTACTAACTAGTACAACCTCCATTCCAAATTAAACAACTTTATTATTAATGCATGTCACACTTATCAATATAAAAAATAGAATACCTTACACTTTATTAAATTCTAATATAATTAATTCTCTCACACTTTACCTGGTACTAATATATTTGCTTCTTATTTTTATATACTTTAATGATTATTTAAAGATCATTCATTTTAGGAATTACTCTCTCAGTTTCAGATTATAAGACGTTTTAACTTTGCTTAAAGTCAAAATGCTCCAAGTCTAACTAAGTTTATTGAAAAAAGTAGTAATATTTTCAATCCAATACAAATATATTAAAATATATACAATTATACATGTAATAAAATTAATTTGGTATTATAAATATTACAATATTTATCTACAAGTTTAATCAAACTTAGAGTAGTTTGATTTTACCAATGTAAAAACGGAACAGAGTGAGTAGTAAATACTAGTAAAGATTATCTGATTTTAATTTGAGACGGGGGAATTATTTACCCCAAAGCACACAAAGTAGCTGCGAGATGACACTGAAACCCACCCACCAACCAACACGCTTGTCCCTTTTCGGTCATTATTGGAAATTAATGTAGGAGTAGCTAAGCTTAAGCTTGCTTGTACTATATATCTAGCTAGATAGCGTGTTTGCACATGCATATGCTCCGTACATATACCATGAATCCAATCAGTTTCTTTCTGTTAAGCGACGACCGCCGCCATGCATTTGTCTGCTAGCTAGCTGTCCGGATCGATCTTCGCCGGCGAGCGATCGAGCTAGGAACACGAAGGCCAGCTGCTAATTACCTTTTATGTAGCTGCGATCTACTTCACTCTCCATTCTCTCCGTCTTACTTTAATGATCATAAAATATCTCTAAGTGATTATATTATGATTTAATGTAAGTTGTATAGTTATACTTACTACGCTACATATACTTTTGATAATATATAACATATTTTGAGGTATTTTAAAATCTTATGAAAATAAACAAGAGCGATCAAATTTTGAGCTTAAATATAATATGTTAACGTCAATTGTTTAATTAGTTTTTATATATAGAAAGGTTCCGGTAATTACCTCGAAACTTTAATATCTCAGAACATGATCAGCGTATATATATATATATATATATATAGTCGGAAAGAACTTCATTATTCTTTGCATATATATGGACCACTGAAACAACACATGGCCGGCATCCGAGAAGTCTAATTAAGAGCTAATCAACAAAACACACACATGTTTTTCCTAATTAACAATCGTTGAAACCCGTAAATATGGCTACTAATTTGACTTTATTACATAGATGCAATTATGCATGCATGACACTTAATGACACACACACGCTAGTAAGACTGATTTGGTCTGCACCTACGTACTCGATCCTTTCTATTTCAGTTCCAATTCAGAGATGAACTAGTTGGCTAGCACAGATCAATATCCTTATTACCAAATTTCAACATATATAATATTGTGAATCTGTGATATGTGTGTGTGTGTGTATATCTCCATGCATGTACACATATGTACTCCCTCTCTGTTCTTTTATGTACGACGTTGGTTAATTCATTTTTGAAATAATTAACGTTATATATTAAAGAAGGGAATAGAGAGGTGTAAACTTTTAATTTGTGGAGATGGGTGGGAAATGAATTAATCCGTTTTAATTTACTTAGATGATGAGGCTGTCTCCGTCGACGTCGTTGATCCACGAATACTTCTCCATGTAGGGGTTGGCCGTGTTCTCCGGCGGGTAGGCGTCGATGCAGTCGGCCCACGCGCCCTTGTCGGCCATGTCGCCGGTCACCTCCCACACGCAGCTGTTGCACTTGAACCCCGACCCGAACGTCACCATCAGCACCTTGTCGCCCCGCCTCAGCCTCCCCTTCGCCTCCATGTACGACAGCACGTACCACAGGCTGCTCGCCGACGTGTTCCCCCACCGGTGCAGCGTCATCCTCGCCGGCTCCACGTCGTCGTCGTCGAGGCCCAGGCTGCGCTTCACGGCCTCGATCACGGCCGTGCCGCCGGGGTGGAGGCAGAAGTGGTCCACGCCCGTCTTGAAGTTGATCCTGGGCCCGTCGCCGCCGGTGTGCTTGGTGGCGGTGGCGGCGGTGGCGCGGCGGCGGAGGAGCTTCTTGGTGATGAGCAGCTGGGCGGCGAAGCGGGCGAGCTCGGTGATGGGGAGGATGCGCGGGGCGAGGCGGCGGAGGTTGGCGGCGAAGGCGCGGACGGCGGCCTTGGGGAGCGCCTTGCTGAGGCTGATCCCGACGGTGCCGTCGTCGTCCTCCCGCTGCAGCGCGCAGGCGTGGGCGTCGTCGTTGGCGGCGATGTTGGCGCGCACGAGGCAGCCGAGCTCCATCTTGGCGCGCCCGCGGAGCACCGGGTCGTTGGTGACCAGCACGGAGGCGCCGCCGCAGCGGAACAGGCAGTTAGCCAGCATCATGGACTTGTCGGTGCCGGTGTACCAGTTGGGCGCGATGGACTCCGTGGACACGACGAGCGCCAGCGCGCGCGGCCGCGTCGCCAGCGTGTTCCGCGCCAGGTCCAGCGAGATCAGCCCCGCGCTGCACCCCATCCCGGCGAGGCTGTAGGCGGCGACGTCCTCGCGCATGCCGTAGCGGTGCACGATCATGGACGCCAGCGACGGGTCCGGCGAGAACATGGAGGCGTTGACGACGAGCACGTCGACGTCGCGCGGGCCGAACCCCGTCCTGGCGAAGAGCTCGGCGATGGAGTCGCCGAAGAAGTCCTCCATCTCGCCGAGCGAGTCCCCGTGCGTGGGCTCGCCCTCCCGGCCGTCGAGCACGTTCCGCGGCGCGTACGTCTCCTCGCCGATGCCGGAGCGGACGATGACGCGGAGGAGGAACCTGTACTCCGGCAGGCTGAGCCGCTTGCTCCGCTCGATCACCGCGCCGGCCGCCTCCGTGCTCACCTTGCGGTCGTCGGACGGCTTGTGGCACACGTAGTCGAGGAGGTAGCACCGCGACTGCCGCCGCCGCGCCGCCGCCGTCCACGCGAGGTACGCCACGGCGTGCGCCAGGAGGAGCACGGTGACCAAGGCAAGCAGCTCCATTGCTGATCTCTCTCTCCTTCTACAAGTAGAAAGCTAGTGATGATCAGTGGTGGTGTTTTGGTTTTAGTGGTTTTGGTGCGGAGAGAGTGTGTGTGTGTTTATATAGGCCGGTTTGGTTTGCACGCAAATTAAAGCGGTCAGAGTTGAGAGAAGGTGGCGGATAGTATTAATTAATTTTGGTCAAAAAACTAAATTTACCCTAAATAGAAATATGGATTACTGTAGATGTTTCCTTTCGCAATTTGGAAAATGACACGTCATGTGTGCAACTTGCCGTGCCCTGTTTGTACCCTTGTCGTTGTTTTGGGTAATAAACTCGTGCAGCGCTATTTGCTGTATCCTGCAGTCATACTCCCAAAATTAGCATCTTTCCAAAATTAGCATATAAGTTTTTTGACATGGTCTTTAGTATATAACTTTCATAAGTAATCATTTAGTCAAAAGTTATAAATTACTAATATTTATTTTTCCAAATACTTGCAAGTCTATAGAAGAAGTAATGATTAGTACTCCCTCCACTAAGGGGAAACGATTAGTCCCGGTTAACAACTCCCTTTCTATCGGTTGTAGCAACCGAGATGAATGAATCGGGACTAAAGATCTCGACTTAAAGATGCATAGCAAGTGAAAAAAATATGAAGATGCATAGCAAATGAAAAAAAAAGAATCGGAACGAAAGATCTCGACCTAAAGATGCATAGCAAGTGAAAAAAATATGTGGGATGTGGGATTTTAACTCAAAATCTCTCACCTTAGCCCTCATGCGTCTAACCATTGCATCTAACCATTCCACCTACTACACACATCTAACTAGAATAAAAATGCTTTTCTTTTGAACTAACCCTGAAGACATCTTTAGCACCGGTTGGTACACCAATCGGTACTTAAAAATACATTTTTAGTATCAATTAGTAACACCAATCCAGACTAAATATACATGTTTCTATGGACTTAAACTTTTAGAACCGATACTAAATCATCTTTAGTATCAGTTTTTAATCTAACCGAGATATTTGTGATATTGGATACCACGTCAAAAGATTCGCTCTAGTAGTGCTCCATTCACAAATAATCATCATATATGGTATGTATAGCGATACCAGTATATCCCCGCATGCCACTTAATTAAATTGGCATGGATCAACATTGTGTCCGGCGCATGCATCAAGGGTAGTGTGCCGGCCAATGATATTGCTTGATGTATACATGCATCATAATTACAATTAGTTGAATGGTAGATAGAATAATGCATGCAAATGATCATTTAGTACTGCAAGAAAAACAAAAGGTCACGTAGGAGAGAGTACCAAATATGGTGATCACTTCTGAATAACACAAAAAAAATTATATGATGATTATTTGTGATGGAGGGAGTATAAGATTTGGTAAAACTTTCAAAATTTTGATCACATATGCTTATTCTAAAAGAATAAATGATATTATAGAATTATCTTAATATAAAATTGATGGTCAAAGTTTTAAAAGAGTGATCAAATCATATCCTAATCAAATATTAATGATTGTGTTTGCGTAGAGGTAGATCAAAAACTCGAAACTAGCTCGTGGCTCAGACCAACTTGAACTCATAGTCATAATAAGTCGAGCCCTATTAGACTTTTAGCTCACATTAGTACTCCCTCCGTCCTTAAATATAAGGGATTTTGGTTGGAAGTGACACATTCTAATTCAACGAATATGGACTTCTAATCCAACGAATCTGGACAGTTCTGTCCAGACTTGTTAAATTAAAATGTGTCACTTCCAACCAAAATCCCTTATATCTAGGGACGGAGAGAGTACTACAGATCACCACATCTCTTCATATATACTCCCTCTGTCTCGATTTTGGTTTGATGTGATATATCCTACAACACGAATCTGGATAGAACTAGAATGTATCACGTCCCACCAAAATTTCTTATATTTGGAGACTGAGGGAGTATTATGCTTCTTGAGTGTAATGCTTAGTTTTTTTAGTTACTTAAACTCCTTGTGTTTAGTTTTCATTATAATTAGTTAGTGTTTATTATTATTTATGATATAATGGTAAAGTTGAAATTATAAAAGATGGTATAAATGTGTTAACGAGCTAGCTCGTGAGCCAAGCTGAGTTAAGCTTTTATCTCAGTTAAGGTTAACGGCCGAAGCCTAGCTACCTGGTTAAAATGATAACAGTCAAACGAACCGAGCCTTGACAGGTTGAGCGAGCTCGGTATCCCCCTAGGAATAAAAACGATCAGAAGACCGAGAGTATTGGAAAACTGAGAAAACCAAACAAATTCAAGCTTACTGTAGATAAAATTACAAAATGTCTCTCTTTTAGCCATGCACTGAAGTTATAGATTTATTTGAGGAGTCGAGGCCTCTAAACTATATATGGATGATATGGACGGTAATTATCGTATTATGAAAGCGGCTGTTTCCCCCTAAAAAAACATCAGCATATATTAAAATCGTTTTCATTTGGTAAATCGGGTTGAAACTCGCTGTTCACCTGGGAAAATATATTTTCGCAGGCCTACCACTTAAGCGGTTCGCCTATAAAAATACCCTTTATTTTTACAGGTGGACCTCTTATGTGATCCACCTACGAAAATTGGCGTGGATATAAATAGATATGACATGGCAGCAAGATTTTTTCTAAGTCTCAGCTCTCCTCTCCCTCAACCCTCTCTTCGTCAGCTCCCTCAACAACCTGCGGCGGGAACCAGCAACGGCGACACGCAGAGGCGGCGGGGTCAGCGCCGGCGAGGGCGGGGTCAGCGGCGGGAACGGCGAGGCAGCGGGGTCGGCGGTGGCAACGGCAAGGCGCGGGGTCAGTGGCAGCAGCGGCGAGGTGGCGGGGTCGGCAGTGGCAACGGCGAGGCGCGGGGTCGGCGGCGACAACGACGAGGCCCGGGGACGGCGACGACAATGCTCGAGGACGGCAGCATCCACACCCAGCGCGGCTCCCCTCCCCTCCCTCCCAGATCCGGCCAAAGGGGAGGAGAGGAAGGAGAGGTGGCGGCGGCTGCCCCTGGAGGTGGCGGCAGGCGGTGGCGGCGGCGGCGCCCCCCACCCCCGACGGCGGCGGCACCCCTACGCAGTTCCCCTAACCCTAGATCGGCTAGAGGTGGGTACGGGTGTGGGTGGGGTGGCACCGATTTTTTTTTCGTCGAGATGATTTTCACAGGCGGGGGACTGGGCCGCTTTTGACCGCCTAAAAAAAGGCATTTTTCTAGTAGTGTTTCTCCCTTCTTATTCAGCTTATCTTTGTGCGGACGATGAATTAGGATACAGAGTAGGGGTGAAGGAGAAGATTGGAGTAAAACCGGGTGAGATGTTCCTAGATTTGGAGAGCGAGGCAGGCCGTGGTCCGTAATATACTAGTTTGGCTGGCATGAAAAATACTATGATACTGTAGTTTATAGAAGCTATATGTGTTGTGATTGTTAATTACTGAAGTGACCAACGATTGCAAACTTCAAACTGCAATATTGACTATTGAGACTAATCTTATCCTACTGCATGTCAAAAGGTGGCTGACATCCTTCGTCTGGAATGTCTCAAGACGACGATTATATACTCCCTTCATTCAAAATTATATGATGCTGTTAATTAATTTTTCGCATAACATTTAACCATTTATTTTATTAAAAATAAATAAATAAATATTATTTATTTTGTTACGACTGGTTTTATCATAAAAGAAAATACAATCTTTATATGTATACTAATTTTTTCTATAATCTTTATTTTTAACTAATTTTTTTAATAAGACAGATCGTTAAATGTTACGTGAAAAGTAAACAACATCTTTTTTTTTTGAGAAAAAACAACATCATTTATCTTGGAATGGAGCGAGTATATATTTCCCATTATTCTTTTTTACTATTTTCCATGTTCCGAGCTCTTTCGGGCCCCTTCACTCTACAGTAAAATCCATAAGCACCGATTAGGGTGCATGAAAAAGTGGCCGACATCTCATTTAAGGTAGAAGTCAAAACAAATATTAGATGATCCTCCAACCTAGCTAATTAAGTGATCTGGAATGTCAATTAGTACTGTGCATGCTATAGTTTGGCTGTTAATTACTGATCGGCAGTGTAGTGATGATCAACCAACAGTTGCCCAACTGCAATGAAACGAATGCTATCCTATTGCTACGGTAATTAAGCATGTTAAAAGGGTGGATGCGTGTCATCATTAATTTAATTTAACGCAAAAAAGTTGAAACGGGTCTTAATTTAATTTAATTTAATTTTGCCGCTAAAAACCCCTAGCCAACCTTGGTCTAAAATGTCAAACTTCGATTATTTCCTATCATTATCTTTTGGTTGGGCAAATGCTCGATGATAGAAGTTATTGCAAAGAAAGATACATATATGGGGCACAACTTGCCATGTCTCTTTTGACACCACTATCATAATATTAATTAGTGATCACTCGGCGATTGTTCAACTAGTTCCTCACTACTTGTACCTACCACTTGAACCTCGTTGCCTTTATTTGGAAGTCACTTAATTAATTGGAGGGACACCGTACGAGAATTGTAGAAAATCCACCACTATAGCTACTACTAAGCCTATATCAAGAACAGCAAATAATCACCCCAAAACCCTCGCAAAAAAAAAAAATCACCCCAAAAATATATACCCTTGCACAAAAAAAAAGTTTCAAAAATGTATACGGTTCACCTCTTGTTTGTAAAACTATTTTAAGCTCGATCTTAATTAAGAACATGTCCGTCCTCGATCTACACATAAATTACTAGTTAATTAACAGAGTGCATATACTGCCAAGACGACGGCGCCCGCGGGACAAAGTGATCGATTTCGACGTGATTTTGACTCTAATTTTCTGTTCGTCGGTGCTTCTCAGCGTTTGGGTCTATCAAGCGGGTGGTGGATATAAAGCATATGCATGCATATGTTTTGCATGCCACTTGAGCGGCGCAAATAATTCATGGACAAGTTTGAAGCGTATGTTGAATTGTTAGCCGACTTTAAAAATCTGTGAGCGTGCCTTAATTTGAGATGCATAGCAGAATTGCGAGGATTAACTGCCGTATTAATTAGGACGTATATCTACACATGA